TACAAACTGTCTTTCATTTTTTTGCTGTCCTTTACTGGAGGCTATACTCTCCAGGACAATGTTAATCAGAAGTCCACAAAAGCAAACACTCTTACCTAACTCCCAGTCTTAGTGGGGAAAGTATTCAGTCTTTTGCCATTAAGTATTCTCTTTGCTGGAGAGTATTAGTAAGTGCTCTTTATCAGGTGAGGCAGTTCCTTTGTATTTCAGTTTTTATCATGAATGGGTTTTGGATTTTTACAAATATATTTTCTGTACCCACTGAGATGATTATGTGGTTTCTATCCTTTCTTCTACTATTATGTGTTACATTAATTGATGTTCAGTTATTGGACTAACCATACATTCCTGGGAGATAAATCCTCCTTGGCCATGATGTATATAATTGTTTGATTTTTTTCAGTATGTTGCTGGATTTGACTTGCTAAGATTCTTTTGAGAGTTTTGGTTTATATTTTCCCGAGGAATATGAGTTTGTAATTTTTTTTCTTGTGATATTTATCTAAGCTTGGGTATCTGGGTAATGCTGGTCTGATAGGAAAATACAGGAGGAATGTTATTTCTTTGATCCATGTTTTAATTTCCAAATACATGGGGACTTCCCAAATTTATTTCTATTGTTAATTTCTAGTTTATCTCAGTTGTCATCAGACAACACACTTTGTATGATTTTAATCCTTTTTAATTTACTGAAACTTGTTTTATGGCTAAAAGTATCCTGGGAGATGGATGTTCCATGTGTACATGAAAAGGATGTGTTTTCTGCTGTTGCTGGACCAAGTGTCCTGCAGATGGCAGTTAGAACAAGTTGGTTGATAGTGCTCAAATCTTGTATATCCTTCACGACTTTTTTTTTTTTTTTTTTTTTAAACAAACAGGGTCTTGCTCTGTTCTCAGGCTGGAGTGCAGTGGTACAATTTCAGCTTATTGCAGCCTCAACTTCCCAGACTCAAGTGACCGTCCCGCCTCAGCCTCCCGAGTAGCTAGGACTACAGGCATGTGCCACCATGCCTGGCTAATTTTGTTCATTTTTTTTTTTTTTGTAGAGACAAGGTCTATGTTGCCCAGGCAGGTTTTGAACTCCTGGACTCAAGCGATCCTTCCACCCTGGCCTACCAAAGTGCTGGGATTTATAGGCATAAGCCACTGCACATGGCCTGACATTTTTTTTTTTTAAACATGGCTCAAATAAATAATATGTCTGAAACTATTATTGTTGAATTGTCTGTTTCTTCTTTGAATTTTATTCCTTTTTGTTTACTGTATCTTGGGCCTTTGTTGTTAGGTGGCTATATAATTATAGTTGCTATATCTTCCTGAGGAATGAACAATTTTGTCATTATGAAAAATGTTTTGGAAAATGAATTGGGGGCAGGGCATGTTTGGTTGAGATTATTAAGGGCTGTGGAATTTTTACAAGTTTTTGAGACACAATGGAACACTTGTCTTTCTGGAGGAGTATGGCAATGATCACTCTTGCATCTATTTTAGAATGTTTACCAAGGACCTATTATGTGTCAAAGGTACCTATGGGAAAATGACGACCACATCAATCAAACATGATTTTTCTTAGAAGATAGTACTGAGGATATGGTTTTTCCTTTCATTTCTAAAATCTTATTCCAAATAATAGTAAAGAGATACAAAAGGGAAAAAGAGCTCTGGTGACAGATATCAGAGGTTTTGAGATTCAGACAGATTTGCAGAAATGAGAAAAAGGATGAAGCTGGATGGTGGAGAAATCAACCATAGTCCAGAAGGGCAAAGGAGAAGACTATGATAGAGGAGAAAATTATTCACTCTGATGGAGCCTTACAGAGAGTCCCAGCTCAGAGTTATTTGTCAGATACTGAGGTAGATGGAAACAGGGTCAGAGAACAGGGTGATTCAAGGACTATTCACATGATAGCTCTCACAGTGGGTCTTTCCCTCCTTCTACCAGACCTCTCAGATGAACAGAATCAATGTCACCTACTCTTCAAAGAAAATAAAATCTGACTATGGAACGCTAAGGATTCTAGCGTAGGCACTTGCACGCATGAGTAAAGATACCCCTCATTTTGGAAAAGTATGAGAGAAAGCCTCGCTTGCCTGCGTGCTTCCTGTTTATATGCTGAAATAAAGTCTGGCAGTTTTTTATTCACATTCACAGCTCACTGCAAACCCTTCCATTCAGGGCAGGGGACTCTTGAGTAACAGAAGCTACACAATGTCAGGAAACACCCTTGCAAGCTACTGATATTAAGTAATGTAATCTTGCATTCATCACTATGAATAAATAACCAAAAATCACCAGACAATGAAAAAAGCCAACAGCACATTACAAATGGCACAAAATGAATAAACAGAGTGAATGCCAAAAAACTCTAACTTACAAAAAAAGATAAATTACCAGAGCTCAAGAAAGACATTAGTTCACATTGAAAATGCTTGCTGAAGGCCAATGAGGGCAAGTTTTAAAAGGTCTCTTCTTTGAAATCTTGTAGTGAAATTTTAGAACAGTATAAGATTAAAAAAAAAAATCCTTAAGGTTTATAGAGAGAAAAAACAAGGAAAAAGAGATTGAAATCAGACTTTTCATTAGCAACACTAGATGCTAAAACACAACAAAATTCAAAGGAAAAATACTTTTGTAACTGGACAAACTCCAAAAAAAAAACTGTGAAGGCAAAATAAATACTTCTCAGTTATACCTGTATTTTGAAATTTTACCTCCCATGTAACCTTTCTACATAAAATTACTTGAGAACGTGCTCCAGACAAAAAGGAATCAAAGAGGAAGACAGGGGATCTGAGAAACACTGGATTTAACTCAGGAAAACAATTTAAAATAAGCAATCATAGAAATCCCAAGAAGAAAGTCTTCAGGAAGAAAGCAGACTGCATTAGATAAGTTGTATGATTAAGACACTGGCTATCTTTAATAAACAACATGATAAAGACACACGCTACTTTTCTCAACAGAGAAAAGAAGGCAGTATAAAAATATCAGAGGAAAAGAGGCTGTACAAGAAAGTTATAGTCCAAAGAGGAAAAAGAAATTAAAAGGGGGCATGGTTTTGAGCAATGGCTGATAAAAGAGTAAGAAAAGAAAATTCACTTGACACTGACTCTTCTTCTCTTTCAAGGAGCAATGACACAAATTCAGCAGCTTACATCAACACAATTTATCATCTCATAGGTTTTGTGGGTCAGGTGTGCAGGCAGAGCCTGAGTCCTCTGCTTAGAGTTTCATAAGGCTGCAATCAAATACTATACTGTACAAATACTACTGAAACTGTACATACATGTACATATAAAAAAGATTTAAAGAGAAAATAAAAATAGTACTTGTGATTGTTTTTCCTGTTTCAATTTCCTAGTAATGTTGTTTCTTAATAATAAAAAAAAAAATTCATTCCAGGAAAAATTATCAACATGTCAGAAAAAAAATCACAATTAGATCCACATAAATAGGCTGAGTGAGTGACTTCACGAAAATGTGGCCGGTAAGAAGTATCAAAAACTGATGCAAATTTTTAGCTAGTTTTGAGTATTAAAATCTCTCTAAAATTACTTTGATTTCCCCCATATTTTAAGAAAACTGCAAAGCTATTTGTTCTTAATGTGTAAACTATTAAAAAAATTTTCTGTAAAAGACAGGTATTTTTAGACCTAAAGCAACATAACTTGTTGGGAAGGTAAGATTCAGTTCATAATTTACCAGGTGACTGGCAGTCAATTTGGACAACAAGGTCCTCAGAGATGGGACTTCATGTTCTTGGTGCCTGCCACAATGCCAATCAATCACTAACAGTCTGCTTATTAAGTAAAAGTGCTCCATATTTTATATATTTTTAACCAGGGTTCTTAAATATATTCTTGAACCAAAGTTCTTAAAACTGGAACCTGTAGGTATCCACAAATAGCCTTGGGATCGGAGGTTGATGGGAGTTGTCATTTATAAACTTTAAATTTTACTAAAAATTGTGTATATGTCTATTTTGTGTGAGGAAAAGTCTGTAGCTTTCAAATTCTTAAAAAGGTCCAACATCCAGAAGAGGTCAAGAAACACTGTTTAACATAAGCAAAAATTAATGGATGACTGGATGCAGAAAAAAATAAAAATGTTCTAATAATGTAGAAATTTAATATAATATAAAGCCATTTATTCAATTTTTACATCATGGGTAGGTCACAGAGCCAAGGAGGCGTTATAAACTTAAAACATAAGTGAGAAAAATAAAAATTCCCACCTCTAGGTTAAATTAAGCTTCAATAAGAAATATCATTAATCTACCCAATGATTTACTAGCAAATAACCAACCTGGTGAATAATTATAGCATGTTATGCACTACGTATCACTAAAAAAACATCTGATGACAGTGCTAAGTGATTTTAAATTTATCTGGAAAATTTGCTACTGAAAGGAGGCCAAAGGGAAAAAAAAATCCCATTCATTTTACAGAGTATGTCACACACTGAGCTAGGCATCAAGAGTTCAAAAAGAACACTCAAATCTTTTGAGAAGTGCAGTCTATTGGGAAAGACAGGTGTGTGAAAATAAAATTATTTATAATACAGATACGTGGAAATGAATAGTTTCCTGGAGAAGCTAAAGAATATTTCCAAGAAAAACTGACATACAAGCTGGTATAGTTTTATCAATAACAGATCAAGAACTGCAGGCTAAGATGGACATTTCCAGTGTAGGGATGTTTACAAAGGTATGGATGGAGCCCTCCTGTGTGTTGAGGGTAGGGGAGGCAAAAGACTAGTGGGAGATCAGGTTCAGACCGGAAATAACCTTCATGAATTGACAAACTTGCATGTTTTTCTGAATGCAAAAAGGCACAGCTATTGAAGGTTTTTAAGGAAAGGAATTAAAGAAAATTGATGTTTATGAGCAACACCTATCTTTAGTTAGAGCCTTAATTCACAATTTAATGGCAGATTCTTATAATAACCCATTATGGGCCTCCCATGTGCTCAGCAGGTGCATTGCCTGGCAGCTGCTTACCTGTAACTGAAAGATTTGTCACAGCAGCACTGGTCAGGGGGAGGACAGGGCTGACTGTGAGGGTAGTTGCTGCACTGCTAGTCACAAGGCTTGGTGTGGTCGCCACCTTGAGGTCAGAAATGAAAACATGGACAAAGCACTTAAAATCAAAACTTAAAGAGGAAATGATTTTATAGTCACTCTTTGATCTTGGAATTGAGACACTTAACATCCTATGTTGGAAAACTGCTATTGGAAGATAGTTGTTCACTGATACCACAAATAGCTCTGCCCGGGTTTTAAAAATAAATAATAAAAAGTTCCTAAATGTCAATAGTGTTGAGACAGATATACTCTTAAGTCGGTAAGAAACATTATACTAATTATCAACTTTACTTAAATAAGAAAACTATTTGACAGGATCAGGGAATCTGGGGTACGTGTTACTTTTACTTTTGACCCTGTGGGGGGGCAGTATTGCCTTATGTTTGGTTTTAATAAAATAAAATTATGAAAATAATGTGAAGCAAACTTTTTAAAAAACTGATTCGTTTTGAAATAACAAAAAATTCTAGTTTTGCAAGAGATACTGTCTTTCTTCTAGCACAAATCAACATAAACATCACCTTTACAAAACAAAATTGTGGTTTAATAATTATCTTTTTCATAACTATCTCATAACTTTATGACTACAGACCCACCATTTAACAACTACAACCTTCAATAAACTAACATGTGCTTTTAATGCTGACTTTAGTTTAAAAAGCCTGCCAGTATGGAATGACATTCAAATAAAATAAAACCAAATTTAAAAAGAACAGAAATGCAAACTTAACAATATTCCCATCTTTTGAATCCTGACAATGTAGAAGTCAAATTTATAATCATCTTAAAAATCAAGGGAGTCACACGACCACTGTATGTCTCTTCAGTCTAGGAGTAATGCAAACAGCAGAAGTTACTCAATGAGGCTTCATAGGAAAGGATCATATGTTGTTTGAAAGTAAAAGATCTGAGATGATTGTCTTAATACAAGTTCAGAGCTGAAAGTTATCTGGTAATTTGCCATCACTTAATCATGTGAGTGTAAGTTTAATAAATTGGGCTTTAGGACTCAACACGAATAAAAAGTAACTAAAGATTTTCTGAGATAGCTGGAATCAGTAGCAAATTTACTCCCATGGTTACACAGTAATCTAATGAACTATACCTGAGAAGAGTATGATGGAAATGCAATGAAAGAATTAGAATTGTATACTTTAAAAAATAAGATAGGTGGGCTGGGCACGGTGGTTCACACCTGTAATCCCAGCACTTTGGGAGGCTGAGGCAGGTGGATCATCTGAGGTCAGGAGTTTAAGACCAGCCTGGAGAACATGGTGAAACCCTGGTCTCAACTAAAAATACAAAAAAATTAGCTGGGCCTTGTGGCGGGTGCCTGTAATCCCAGCTACTGTGGGAGGCTGAGGCAGGAGAATCTTTTGAACTCAGGAGGCAGAGGTTGCAGTGAATTGAGATCGTACCATTGCACTCCAGCCTGAACAACAAGAGTGAAACTCTGTCTCAAAAAAAAAAAAAAAAAAAAAAAAAAAAAAAGATAGACTGGGAACAGTAGCTCACACCTGTAATCCCAGCACTTTGGGAGGCCGAGGCCGAGGCGGTGGATCATTTGAGGTCTGGAGTTCAAGACCAGCCTGGCCAACATGGTGAAACCCTGCTTCTATCAAAAGTACAAAAAATTAGCCAGGAATGGTGGTACATCTGTAATCCCAGTTACTCGGGAGGCTGAGGTACAAGAATCACTTGAACCCAGGAGGCGGAGGTTGCAGTGAGCCGAGATCGTACCATTGTACTCCAGCCTGGGTGATGGAGTGAGACTCTGTCTCAATACAATACAATACAATACAATAAATAGAAAAATAAATAAAAAATAAGATAGACCAAGAAGTTCTTGGGTTAATAACAACATGAGATTTCACCCTCCATGCAGGGGCACCTCAAGATCAGTGACCTCAGCAGAGAGAGAGAGAGCGTGCATGTGAATTTCATTACCTTGATAATGTCTAAAATATAAATTTATATGCATTTACTTGATGTATTTATTCATTAAATTACTATTATGAAATAAACTGATTTAACAGGTCATTTGTAAAATTGTGAAAATTAGCCCTTGAGCTTGCATTTTTTTATTCTTACCAGTGAAGTTGGGCTGGGGAAAATTGCTTTGATAGGTGAGCTGCTGGTCCCACCACTGCTTGGTGGGTTTATTCTTTTTTCTTTCTGGCGGCGGTTACAGAACCAAACACGAATCACCTCTTTTTCCATATTGAGCTGATCAGCAATCATAGTGATCTCTTCCGAGGTAGGCTTTTGATTCTGCAGGGTGAAAAAATCCTTTGGAATAACTATCCTTTGGAATAACTTTTTGAACTACTGGCATAATCACATCAGTATATAAATAAAAAATGAGGAGGGACAGGTGAGAAAATGAAGCTGGGACACATACAACCATCCATATTGGGCCACTTTCAACAAAGAGATTCTGTAGATAGAAGTTCTAATGAACATACGCCTACTAAACTTATTCATATTAACTTAGAATAAGTTATCCTTGAATATCTATAGTTTTTCATTTTTAAGATCTATTAATTGTGAATGAAATTAACAAAATACCAGTACAACCATATGTATTAGCAGGAATTTAACCTTTCTCCACACTTCATGCTATCTAATTTGGACCTCACAGTAGGAAAGGCAGGTGTTTCACAGATGAAGGACCTTCAGCTTAAAGAAATCATGTGATTTGCCCAATCAGGGGCAGAGCTGATAAAAATTCCTAATTCAGTGTTCTCCCAATGTGCTCAAGTCTTTTCTGAATTAGAGAAGTCAAAATTTTCTTAAAAGCTTTGTTATGATATTACCTGGTTAAAAAAAAAATAATTGCCAAATATCTCTTGCATTAATTTAAGCTCCATAGCCTAACACTCAAGGTCTCTAGTGTTCCAATCCCAAACTACTATTCCAGGCATACAGACACTACAATTTAACCAACCAATCTACTAGAGTGTCTCCTGATACACCCTATGGTTTCCCTCACTTCAGTGTTTCTCCCCCACTCTGAGGGGGAAATGCTCATGTGCTTCCTCCGCTAAAGTACTTTCCCCCCACCTTTTGTAGTCTGTGGAATTAATTCCTATGTATCCTATGTTAGCTGCCACCTCTCTCATACTGAGCGCTCGCATGGATGTGATTCTGGTGTCTCCTGAACCCTGCAGAACTCTGGTTCTGTCTCCTATGTTAGTAACTTACTTACTTCACCTATTTATAATCATCCATAAGGGCAGAGGCTGACATGTCATCTTTTACCACCTACAGTTTCTACTAAGTACTGATGTTAAGTACCACACAGACAATCCCATGTACAGAAAAGTAAAATCCTCACTGACCTCCAAGAAACTCTTCTCTAAGGCCACACGGATGTTGGTCTCTATGCTGGTGCGTTTCTTCCTCCTACGGCTCAAGCCCTCAATTCCTGGAGAATTCAGGGCACTTGGGCTGGAAAGGGACGAATCAGATGAGAGGTTCTCTGTAAGAATGAAGAAAATACAGAAATAAAATTAGCTGAGCACAGTGATTCATATGCACAATATGCATATTAACAAAACTGACAAAATAAGCTACATGCAAGTATGAAAAGGTTTTCACATAACCTACATTACAATACTGCTTATTGGCCGGGCACAGTGGTTCACACCTGTAAACCCAGCACTTTGGGAAGCTGAGGCGGGAGGATCACTTGAGGTCAGGAGTTCAAGACCAGCCTGGCTAACGTGGTGAAACCCCATCTCTATCAAAAATACAAAAATTAGCTGGGCACGGTGGCGTGCACCGGTGGTCCCAGTTACTTGGGAGGCTGAGGCAGGAGAATCACTTGAATCTGGGAGGCGGAGGTTGCACTGAGCTGAGATCATGTCACTGCACTCCAGCCTGGGCAACACAGTGAGACCATGGCTCCCTCTACCTGCTCCCCCGCCCCACCCAAAAATATATATTTACTACCATGGATATTTCTGCTGCCCTTATTGGCATTCTTTGTCCTAGGATGTTGACAATATTACCACTACTTTTGGATTTCTGTTTCTGAGAAAAAAGAGGTTTACTATTTCTATCCTTAAACTCAGCTCTATGTCTCCAGTTCTGTTTGTTTATAAGTTCTGGGGATAAAAGGAAGAAAGTTTCTTGGAAATTACTGAACGTTTAATATTTATCTTGTAAATGGCCTCTCATTTTATTGGTATAATCTAGGGTAAAAAGAAAAGAAACAAATGAAATATTTATAAATTCTCTGAAGTTAAATCACAGGGTTCTGTAATTTCACAGTTTAATAACCTTGGGCATGTCATACACAACTGAGTTTGTTTCTGCTACATGTAAAATAAGATGGAAGGAGTAAACCAGTGGTTCTTATCTGTGGACTCCGGAAGCAGATGCCTAGGCCTCACCCACAGCTACTGAATAAAACTGTCCAAGGATGCGTGTTTCAGGTTTGTCTTTTCCAAAGGCCTAATTTTTGTTCCTATCTACAATAAGAACTATAGTTTAAGGGATCTATATGACTCCTACAGCTTTCATAGTCTATGATACTGTGACTCAAAATTCCAATCTTCCAAAAGGAACTCTCAAAACAAAAAAACGTAAGACTAAGCTAGTAGTCTAACTTTTCTGAATGATATGTGTGGTCATCTGAAATAACAAAAGCAGAAATACTGCAAGAACAAGTTCTATGATAATTCATCAAGGAAGACACAATAAGCTTCTCCTTCAAGCTTACCTAAATACAAAAGCCTTCTTATCCTATTCCTTCAACTGTGTGTGTGTGTGTGTGTGTGTTCCTTTCCTGGCTCAAATACAAGAAGTATTTCAGGCTAAAAATTATTGCTAATTATTTACACTGTAATTACTAGAATATTTAAATGAATCAGCTTTCTGATTTATATCACCATAATTCATAATGATTCTCCCAGGATTAGTAAGCTTCAAAGTTCTGTAATAACAAAAATAGAGTAAGAAATACAAACCCCAATTTATATAACAATCCCCCTGTAAAATTTCAATGAATGACAAAGAAATGTCGTATACAGTCACTTACCTGCATCATTTAGCCACTTCTCTAAAAGTGGCTTCAACTTGCACATGTTCTTAAAGCTGAGGTTCAAGGCTTCAAAGCGAGAGATGGTAGTTTGGCTGAAGTCATTTCCATACAGTTTCCCCATAGCGAGCCCAACATCACCCTACACACAATACAGAGCAGGAGAAGAGGAGAGGAAAGACAGAGTCATCTCACCAATGCTTAAAGCCTTCACTCTGGGGTGTTGCTCCAGTAACTGCTTTAGACAAAGAGTCAATAATTATTCCACTTACGGGGTTCCACATAAACTCCATTCCTAAGCCAGTCACAGTGTTACTGTGAGGACTCTGTCAGGCCTGATCATTATAATGTTCAATACTGTCCCACATACTTTCCCATTTTGAATCTCTTCTTGCCACCTTATGTAATCATGGAGATACCAAAATTTCAACTAGGTATCAAAAATAGTGCTAATATTCTAACAAGCCCCTTAAATGATACAACCAAAGTGATTTAAGTAATCTTTAAAAATGTATTTATCTGGTCTGGGCACAGTGGCTCACACCTTTAATCCCAGCATTTTGGGAGGCCTAGGCCTACATGGGTGGATTACTTGAGCCCAGGATTTCCAGACCAGCCTGGGGAACGTGGCAAAACATCTAAAAAAAAAAAAAAATACAAATATCAGCCAGGCATGGTGGCTTGTGCCTGTAGTCCTAGCCATTTGGGAGGCTGAGGTGGAAGGATCGTTTGAGCCCAGGAGGTCAAGGCTGTAGCAAGCTGTTATCGTGCCACTGCACTCCAGTCTGGGTGACAGAGTGAGACTCTGTCTCAAAAAAAGAAAAAAAATTAATAAAAAGAAAAATAAATTTATCTGTATCACCTACAGATATTATGTATAACTCTCTAGATAACCCAAGATATTCCTGAACTAACCAAACTTCCCAAAAATCAGTTTAAAAATTAGAAATCATCTCTTTCTTCTTTTCCCTATCAAGTATTTCTGGAAGCAGTGAAAAAAAGAATCTATTTTCACTCCTAGTTTGGATTTCAAAGTTAGTTACAAAAAACAGGTATTCTAAAAGACTACTTTTGTAACCATCATAGAAATAGAAATTCACAGTAGAGAGGTTTGACCCATTTAGTCAAACCTTCATGGGCACTGGAAACTTGGTAACCTTATAGCAATAGAACAATGATGCCCTGAATATATTACAAAAGATGTCTTTCTCTATAAGCCTATAACCTTTGAAATGTATACAGAGCTTTTCTTCTTGCTGAATCTCTCTTGTTCAAGCTGGAAAAAAAGGGTATCTTAATAGTTACTTTATATACAGGAAACAGAAGCTCACGGAGTTTAAATGATTCACCCATTCATTTCAATTAGTTTAGTGACAGGGCAGAAAGGCAACATTATTTCTGGTCCAAAGTACTATACAACTAATCCTACTATTAGACAGCCAACTCTCAACTATCCCGGCAACACTTACTTATTTTGAACTGGGATTATCCCAGTCCTTTGATTCCTCCCTACCCCTAATCCATCTTTTGAATACTACATTTTTTATTAGCACCTACATTAGGTGGTAGTTGGGTTACAAAAAATAACATATTTTTAAAACCCCATTTTCTTTTTGGTGAGCTACTTCTGACAAAAAGTTTAACAGTGAGAAATATTGAAATGTAAGACAAAATGAGGGCACACAGAATACCTGAACTTCAAGTGACTGATATCCTCTGCCTTCCCATATAGCCATCAGCCACATGTGGCTATTTAAATTAATTAAAATTCAATAAATTAAAAATTCAGTTCCTCAGCACCACTAGCCTTTCCAAGTGCTCAATAGCCATAAGTAGACAGTGGCTATTGTACTGGATAACACAAATACAGAACATCCCATAATCACAGAAAGTTTTAATGACAGTTCTGAACATACTGAAGTAGACTGTTTATTAATTTCCTTCCAATTACAGTAAAATGGAAAGAACCAGAATTAGTGGTGAGCAGGGCATAAGTGCTATCCATTATACTGTATACAAATATGTCTAAAGATATAGATGATTATGTTTATCTATACTTATATCGCTGTATTTTTATTAAATGTTACTTCATTCAGGCAGGGCACAGTGGCTCACACCCGTAATCCCAGCACTTTAAGAGGCCAAGGCAGGTGGATTACTTGAGGTCAGGAGTTCAAAACCAGCCTGGCCAACATGGCAAAACCCCTGTTTCTACTAAAAATACAAAAATTAGTCGGGTGTGGTGGCGCACCCCTGTAATCCCAGCTACTCAGGAGGCTGAGGCATGAGAACTGCTTGAAACCTGGGAGGCGGAGGTTGCAGTGAGCCGAGATCAGGCTACTGCACTCCAGCCTGGGTGACAGAGTGAGACTCTCTCAAAAAAATAAATAGAAGAAAATAAAATAAAATGTTACTTCAATCAAATATTCACTAAGTGCCTACTATATGTCAAGCACTGAACTTATGCATTGTGTATCACATATATTCATGTCATGGTCACCTTGTTTAGATTATAGCTGGTGCCAATTAAACCTTGTAATTCTTTGAGTATAAGAACTTATATAGCTGTTAGATGGCAATAAGCGTTTTCTGGCACAATAGGTGCTAGTTGGGTTAAAAAAATAACGTATTTTTAAAACCCCATTTTAAGCTATAAATTTTCACAAACTTCTATCTTACTATAAAAGTATATAAAAGTAACAATTTAACAAGTAAAAAATAAATCAACAGCCTAGGAAACACAAGACTCCATCTCTACCAAACACAAAAATATTAGTTGGGTGTGGTGCGTGTGTCTGTAGTCCCAGCTACTTGGAAGGTTGAGGTGGGAGGATCACTTGACCCCAGAAGTTTGAGGCTGCAGTGAGATATAATTGTGCCACTGCACTCCAGCCAGAGCCAACAGAGTGATACCCTCTCTCTAAAAAAAAAAAAAAAAAAAAAAGAAGGTAAATAAAATATATATTAAAAAATCATGACAGTAATTATAAGAATTGATACCTTAAGGTGGTGGCTGAAAATAAAGCTATGCCATTAACTAACTAGAACCATGATAATAAATTCACTTTATCATTTATTAATATATGTTTTATTTCACATTTAAATTGCTTAATTGAATAAAAAGCAACAGGCTCCTCAGTTAACATACTAATTTTCATTAATTTGGTACAGGCTTGGTTTAATGCTTTCATGACAATCCAACTCACAACCATCTTGGGTTATCACTCACAAAAGTAAACGTTTTAAGTAGTCGATTCATATACAATCTTAACTATATTATATCCCTTTGATATTTTTAAAAAGAACAAAACAAAAAAGGAACAAAAACTGGGACTGGTAAATAATGAATGTATCACATGTGGTAAATGTATTATACTATAACACGCTTTCTAACTATGCAAAGACAGCCATGGTAATCCTTTAATAAGCAATTATGTAATTAGAAAATAACTGTTTAAAACATCTAATAATATGCATACTTACACAGAGAATAGAGCTTTCTTTATTTCAGTAAATAACTTTAATGGCTAAAACTTTCTCTTTATGTGTGTACATAAATAAATTGGACACAGAACAACCTTCAAATAACTAAAATTAAAGTATCTGACTTACAAACAGAAGTTGATAGACTGATTTTCCATTCTGCGGCAGTAGTATGTACTTTAACCCACACAGTCCAAGTTTGTGAACCACTGCCACTGCTGTCTCAAAGTCATTTTGAAAAATAAGGAATGGTCATGCCAAAAAATAGGATAAAACCATAAAACAAAACACCAGACCATAGAGAAGCTCCTTTACCTGGAGGAATGTGCGGAGGCAGAGAAAAACATAACACTGGCAATATGCTGGATCAAATGCAGAAAGGCAAACCACTATTTGAGTAAAAGCTAAAGATTTTTAAAAGCCTTAACATCTTTGGCATATCACTTAGACAACAATCTCTCAGGGAACCCAAGAGTATACTGTGCTGATAGTTCAAACCTTGAGGCACTGCTAAATATGCTAACTGTATACTTATTTCAGCGTCCTAACTTACTCATATCAATCTAGTTTTATGTTTAGCTTTCTTTTTTTTTTGAGACAGAGTCTCGCTCTGTCACCCAGGCTAGAGTGCAGTGGTGTGATCTCGGCTCACTGCAATCTCTACCTCCCAGGTTGAAGCAATTCTCCCTGCCTCAGCCTCCTGATTAGCTGGGATTACAGGCATCCGCCATCACGCCCTGCTAATTTTTGTATTTTTTAGTAGAGATCGGGTTTCGCCATGTTGGCGAGGCTGGTCTTGAACTCCTGACCTCAGGTGATCCACCTGCCTCGGCCTCCCAAAGTGCTGGGATTACAGGTGTGAGTCACCGTGCCTGGCCTAGCTTTCTTTTTAAAACAAGTCAGATCATTTAAGATGCTTTGAAAGGATTAAAATGTTTCTGGATAATTTGCTTCTTCATAACTCAAAACTCCTCACAAATGTAACTGTATTTCCTCTAAAATCATGCCTATTTAAAAAATCATTTTATATTCTCAAACACAACTGATTTCTTTGAGCAAAAATGAATTCCCAAAGAAATATAAGCCTGGGCTGGGCGTGGTGGCTCACACCTGTAATCTCAGCACTTTGGGAAGCTGATATGGATGGATTTGGTTGAGCCCAGGAGTTTGAGACCAGCCTGGGCAACATGACAAAACCTCGTCTCTACAAAAAATACAAAAATTAGCTGGGTGTGATGGTGTGCCTGAGTCCCAGCTACTCAGGAGACTCCCTTGACCCCTGGAGGTTAAGGCTGCAGTGAGCCGTGATCATGACACTGTACTCCAGCCTGGGTGACAGATCGAGGCTCTGTCTCAAAAAAAAAAAAAAAAAAGATATATATAAAGGTGTTCTTAAAAACACCCATAGTACATGCAGGATGCTATCCTTGGATTTTGACCTTCCAGGCCAGGTGGAGCATTACTGTACTTTCAACACAAAGTAATTTGAGTAATATTTAAGTAGTGGCTTAAACACTTCAAATAGTAATTATATTCCCTGGAAAGAAAATATCAGATTTTTCCTGATTCCATAAAAACACCAAATCTAATCCATACTTCCGCTTTTTTTTTTTTTTAACCTAATGATCTTATACCATTTTACATAAATTTCATTCAGTTTAATTCTTTGCCTGCTTTAAAATTATTATTTACAGGCTGGGCACAGTGGCTCACACCTGTAATCCTAGCACTTTGGGAGGCCAAGGCAGGAGGGCTGCTTGAGGCCAAGAGTTCAAGACCAACCTGGCCAACATAGTGAGACCCTGTCTCTAAAAAACATGTATTATTTATGACAGGTTAATCAAAGAGTCGGTGGTAGTGCTTAGAACAAACAAAAATGCCATGTATCCAGACAACTGTTTAAATAATTTATTAAATATATTCACTCTTCTTTAAAAGTCCTCGGTTAGCTGACAAATTGTAGAAAATTAATTTGGATATTGGCTAATTTGGGGTTTTCATCTTCTATAGATTCTTGCTTGATTAACTGGTTTTAGCATAGGCTTAGAGAGTGTGTATGCCTGTGCCTGCATGCCTGTCTTTATCACCCTTTCTCTTCCAAAAAGTTATTTTTATTTTTAATTTTTATTAATTTTTATCTTTTTAGAGAGTGTTTTGCTCTGTCACTCAGGCTGGAGTGCAATGGAGCAATAATGGCTCACTGCAGCCTCGACCTCCCAGGTTCAAGCAATCCTCCCACCTCAGCCTTCTGATAGCTTGGACTACAGGCATGTGCCACCACACCCAGTTAAATTTTTTATTTACTTTTTGGAGAGACAGGGTCCCACCAGAGACCAGGCTGGTCTCCATCTCCTGGGCTCAAGCAATCCTCCCACCTCAGTCTCCCAAAGTGCTGGGATTACAGATGAGAGCTACTGCAACCCACTACAAAAAACTGTTTTTAAATAAGCCTTCTAAACTTTTCCCCTTTTAGCTACTAAAATACACCCTGTAATCTTTACTCTCTCTTCATCTTACATATGAAGCACTAAGGTCTTCATCTTACATATGAAGCACTAAGGTCTACTACCAGATATTCTTCAATAACAAAATCCTCAGTATAGTCAAAATATCCTCCAACATAATCTTTTAAACCCTTCACAATTTACTGATATAATTATGATTTCAGAGGCCTGTGTTCTGAAAGGAATCATAAAGCTTCTAGACTAACATTAAACCATACATTAAAAATGCAGCAAAAGGCTAACAAGAAGGTACAGTTTAAAACCAAAAAACAACATGGCTGAGGAATATATTGTATCTTAGACGCCTCTTTGGACATGTAAAGCAAATACAGCTGTCCCTCGGTATGCACAGCGGATTGGTTTCGGGACCTCCCTTGGATACCAAACTCCACTGATGCTCAAGTACTCAAAATTATAAAATGCATATTTTTATATAACATATGTGTATCCTCCCATATACCTTAAATCATCTCTAGGTTACTTATAATACTTAATATATAAACACTATGCTTAGGAAATAATGGCAAGGAAAAAAGTCTACACATGTTCAGTACAGACATGACCATCCTTTTTCATCCCCTGCCCCAAATATTTTAGACTGGTTGAATCCACAGATGTGGAATCCATGAATACAGAGAGCCAACCGAATTTGGACCCAGCCAAGGAGGGCAATCAATGTAAGGCCAATTCACCCTACCTGAGTGAATCCAAGTTTGATTCGTCTTTGTTTGAAGGTCTTGGCAAACTGCTCAAGCTCCTCAAGGTCACTGGGCTCCTCCAAGCTGGGAGTATCAATTCGCTTTGGTGTTGACTGGCTCTGTGGAAGTGTCTGAATTGGGGTTGCTGCTATTGTGCGTGTTGGGGTTGCTGGCTGTTAGAGAAAGAATAAAACAATGAGGAAAAACATGTGAAGAGATATTTAGGCTTACTCCAAGTAAACAATTGAAGGAAACAGCCACATTTACAGAGAACAATGAAGACCATGTAACACTACAGAATGTGCAACATAATGTTCAGGGAGCAAAGCAGACAGTGAAACTATGTATGCGGTAATTACAAGTAAGGTTAAGCACATAATTCTATAGAAAAAACATGAATACACAAAAACGAAATCTATTATAACTGGGTTTTCAAATGGTCTGAAGACATATATCTTATGTCTTTTAATGATTACTCTTTATTTCAAAAAATCGATTTCATAAGTCTAGCACTTCAACTGTCAAAGCAGTAGAGTCTTGTTTATCACTATTACATCTCCAACCTGTGACACAGTATTATAAAAATAGTATTCAAGATTAAAACTATTTTAAGGGGGAAAAGTAAACCACCTGTAGTTTAAATATCTTATAACAGGTTTCACTTTTGTATATCTGTTCCAGTTTTTTCCCCAAGGACCTATATTTTTAAACCTTCACTGTAATTATGGTATACATAATTTTACTCTCTGCTTTTCTCATTTAAGATTGTTTTAACTTTTTTCTATAGTATTTCAGTCTTCATAATTAATCCTTTTTAAAAACTAAGGCAATACTCTGATAATTTACTTAACCAGTTCTTAATCGCTAGACAGTTTTCATGTTTTCACTAACATAGATAACACAATGAAAAACTTCATGCATATTAGTTATTTTTTCCACCTATGTGTGTAATTAGTTCTTTTAAGATAAATTCTCAAGGGCTTTTCTGGCAACTAGATAAACAATTTCACGGCTTTTGATACATATCATAAGGTTGGTTCCCACTTTGCAACACTCTTCCACATGACTTGGTTAGCAGTTTAAAAAAATGTTTTGCTAATTCAAGAAGTAAATGGTAGTTCTCTGCTGCTTTAATTTGCATTTCTCTTACTACTCAATGTCAAAATTTTCCCATGTGTCAACTGTTATCTGTATTTCCTTGGATGTGAATTGGATTTATGTCCTTAACCAATTTATATATTAATGATACCCTTATTCTCATCCTTATCCTTAGAGAGATCCTCAAATTTTATAGAGTAAGCTTTGTCATATTAATGCAAACGCTTTTTCCAATTTGCTTTCTTTTATTTTTCAGTGTACATAAACCTTTAAATTGTCATTTGGGTTAGCTTTTAATTTTCCTTTCTAATATATCCTGTTACTTCAAATCTGAGAAAGCTTCACTTATTTCTAACACTGATAAAATTCCTTATAATCTGCTAGCTTCTTCTATGTGTTGTTGAATATTTGATTATTTAAATCCATGTATAGTTTATTTTGGGACATGAGGATATAGTCTCTTTTTAAAAAGAAAATACTCAACTTTCTTATCACACAAACATAAGGTTATTCTGTTCTATTCACAAGCCCTGAGTGGAACACACCTCACTAGCGGGAGGTGCTGCCTCACTGCATCTTAGTTGCTCAGTTGACCCCTCCTGTGAACAGTAGCCCAGGTGAGCGATTATAAACCAGGATTACAGATAAAGTCTGTGGCTGTGAATTTCTCTTCTTCAAATTGAGATAAGTTATATAACCCTGACCTTTACCTTATGAGTCAAGGCTTCCTCCAAAGGAACTAACTGTCCCAGAAAACTACAGAATAAGCATTACACAGGCGACAACTGGAGTTAAGTTCCTCTCTTATCATCCTGTTTCAATGACAACAACAAAGTTCATTTCTATGTTATGCTGACACTGCGTAATTTTCAACCTGACCATTCTGGAGTACCCAAAACCACCACCAACCATAGTAGACTCCCATGTGGCTGTACACTTCTCACAGCGAAACTGGTTGACAGTTAGAGGTGAGTCTTAACTATCACATTGTTACTTCATCTCCGGGGTTGAAGTAGCCCCATTCTCAAATAATAAAGGACTAAAAATAGCTTGGGTACCTTTAGATGGGGTGGTTACAGATAAGTTACCCCAACTCCAGAAACCTCAGGCTGGACTGGGCCAGATCTAGAAATGGCAGAGTAGAATTCAGTGAGCAGCAGTCAGGATGAAGCCACAACAGCCCTGCCACCATATGCAGAGCATGTAGGCCAGGAAGGAGTCTCTGGTATAGACTTTTTTCAAAAACCCCAACCTCACTCTCTACATACAGTCATACAACTGCTACTAATTGTAGTAGCAGTTACTATATAGATAGCAGTAGATACAGAACATTCTCATCACTCCCAAAAGTTCCCTTGTTCCCTTTGTAGTTAATCCCCATCATTAGCCCCCAGTCCTTGGCAACCACTAATATGTTTTATGTACCTTACTTTTGTGTTTTCTAAAACGCCATGTGCATTGAATCATACTCTATGCAGTCTTTTATGTCTTCTTTCATGTAGTATAATGCTTTTGAGATTCACAGGAGCTGCATGTATCAGAATCACTTTTTTTTTTATTGCTAAGTAGCATTCCATCATATGGATATGCGTAAAGCTTATGTTACCTAGTCACCAGCTGATGTATGTTTAGGTTGTTTCCAGTTCGAGGTGAATAAAGCTGCTATAAACATTCACGTACAAGTCTTTGTGTGGACGTATGCTTTCATTTCTAGGGACAGAACTGCTGGGTCATGAGGTACATGGACATTTAATTTTATAAGACACTGCCAGCCTGGTGCAGTGGCTCACACCTGTCATCTCAACACTTTGGGAGGACAAGACAGGCAGATTGCTTGAGCCCAGGAGTTCAAGACCAGCCTAGGCAACTGGCAAAACCTCACCTCTACAAAAAATAGCTGGGCGTGGTGGTGCACGCCTGTAGTACCAGTTACTCAGGAAGCTGATGTAGGAGGATCACTTGAGCTTAGGAGGTCACGCTGCTAGAGTGGGCTGTGATTGTGCCACTGCACTCCAGCCTGGGTGACAGAGTAAGACCTTGCCTCCCCCTCACCCCCAAAAAAAGACACTGCCAAAATAATTTCCAAAGTTGTGTGTACCATTTTGCAACACCACTAAGCAATGCATGAGAACTCTAGTTGCTTTATCTTCTTGCCAACACTTTGTTTTGTCATAGCCTTTTAAATTTTGCTTATTCTAGTGAGTGTGTAGTGATATTTCATTTAAATTTTCCTGATGACTAACGGTTTTTGAGCATCTTTTCATATGCCTGCTGGACATTCACATATCTTCTTTGGTGAAGTATCTCCAATTTTTTTGCTGCCCATTCCCTTAAATCAGATTGTCTTATTATTAACTTGAATGAGTTCTTTAGACATTCTGAACACAAATCGTTTATCAGATATGTTTCATAAAAATATTTTCTCCCCATCTGTGGTTTTCTTTTCATTCACTTGAGAGAAGCTTTTAATTTTTATGAAATTAGATTTATCAGTTTTTTATTTTATGGTGCTTTTTGTGTCCTATTTAAGAAATCCTTGGGTTAGGCAAGGACACAAAGATTTTTTTCCAAGTTTTTTCTGTAAGTTTAGGTCTACAACCCATCAAACAAATCTTTGTATATGGTGTGAAACAACAGGCAAGCTTTCCCACCCCCCCGCCCTTGTTTCTGCAGCATTTTTTTAAATGACTTTTTTTTTTCCCACTGAAATTCTTTGGTACTTTTGGCAAATCGGTTGGCCATATACGTGTGGGTCTACTGGACCTTCTATTCTGTTCCACTGGTCTCTATTTCTATCCATATGCCAGTATTACACTGTCTTCATTACTGGAGTTTTATAATTATTCTTGACATCAGGTAGTCCTTCAATTTTCTTCTCAAAGTCGTTTGGTTATTCTGTGTTTTCTACAGTTCTTTACAAATGTTAGAAACAGTATGCAAATTTCTACAAAAAAAGGCTGCTAGGTATTGGTTGAGTCTGTGTTAAATCTAGAGGTCAATTTGGGAAAACCTGACATTTTAACAACTTAAGTCTTCTGATTCATGAACACATTACTTCTTTCTATTTTATAGGTCTTTAATTTTATGCAGTAATGTTCTACAGTTTTCAACGTATAGGCCTTACAAATATTTTGTTAAGTTTATCCCTAAGTGCTGTAAATTTCTTTTTCTAAATTTCAATTTCCAAATGCTCACTGCTAGTGTATCGAAATGTAAATGATTTTTATATATTGACTTTGTATCATACTTGCTAAGCTCACTTATTCCAGTAGCTTTTTTTGGTAGATTCCTTAGGATTTTCTAAATAGACAATCATGTCATCTAGCAACTCAGACAGTTTTACTTCTTCCTTTCTAATCTATGTCATTTATTAATATTTCATTTTATTGTCTTATTGCATTACTAGCACCCTCAGTATAATGTGGAATAAAAGCGGCAACTGGTCACTTTGTCTTGTTTCTGATCTTAGGGGAAAGTATTCAGTTTTTCGTTAGGTATGATATTGGTTTTTTTTCTTTTTTTTTTGTACATGCTGTATACCAGGTTAAGAAAGTTACCCCTATATCTAGTTTGCAAGAGTTCTTATCATAAATGGATGCTGAATTCTGTCACATCTGGTAATGTGTTAGTATTAAGTGATAACTTCCGTACTGCAGACAAAGAAAGTCCGAGCTAGGAAATTCAGGATCAGCCAGTCCAGTCACCTAATTTATAGATGAGAAGACTGAGGTCCAGAGAGGTAAAATGACATGTTCAAAGCAACAGCTAGATAAGAAGTGGAACTAGGTCTATAATTTAAACCTCTTTATGCCTAAGATTTGTTTTTATATAATTATAGTGTTTATATGGTCTAGTAGAAATGCGCTAAAGAGCCATAAAAGCATTGAGAAAAAAGAAAATACAGAGATCAAAATTTCTTTGCAGTTTCTGAGAAAGAGTAAAGGGTAACAATGGATTTTAACTGAGGCTAACTAGGTTTCCAGTTTAAGTGGTAATATCTACTGCCAAGTATGGTGAGGGGAGATGTCACATGGCTACAACTCATTACTCATTTACTGCTAACACAGTTATTCTTTATGAACATAGACGAAAACAGAAACTCTGAAGATTTTCAAAAACTATATTGATTTGCTGGCATTGCTTTATTAAGCTGATTAAGCCTAGCTTGGATTTTCTGGTCAGTTTTCAAAGACTGAATTATTAGATTTATTAGATTTTTAAAAAATTAAAAGTCCAAATGTCTCCCCAAACAACATGATAAGAGAAAGCGGCTCCCATAGAAGAAAACTGACCTGGGAGGTGAGGGTGATGCTTGGTTGCGACTGTAGGAGGTTGGCTTGGCTTTGCTGAGGTAGTTGCGTTAGAAGATTTTGCGCTTGCAGGAGACCTGTAGAAGAAAAACATGTTATCCAGAAATATTAAAGATTTCTTTGAACACATGGCAAAAGAAAGAAAGAATCAGAAAATGAGCTGAAAATTTTCAGTTGATCTCTGGTAGTGTTACTGGTATCAAAACTCTTATTTATCTTATTTGCCTTACATTCAATCTTGTTTTACAATTTGGAAGAGAAGATATAAAACATTAAATTAAAACTGGTATGTCTTTAGCATAATCCGAATAAGCTCTGTGATAGGTCAATCCTTTATTTTAGGAAAGAGTGGGATGAAAGTAAAAAACTACTCTAGATAGAAAGAGTTGGAAATTCCAAAAAGAGCTCAACTTCTTAACCTAGAATCCATTAGAAACTGCCAGCATATGTTGGACCAGAGGAAAAGAAGCATTTCAAGTTCTCTTTATCAAACATTTGTCTGTTGGTGATAATAAAGTTGAAATGTAAAATATTCTATTAATATCTGCACTAACACTGAACTATCTTAGTTTCAAACAATTGATAATGTAATGCCACCAATGCTTCATGATGACAAACTGACATTCAAAGGAGAAATACAAACTCTCTGTTTGTAGAATATGCTCAATTACTCGAATACATGGCTTTTTATTTTCAGAACCTGATAGAGGACCAACTCAGAATGTCTGTATTTAAGGATTTAACCCACAGAGTTTCAGATAAAATGCTGTTGCTAAAATACTAAATACAAGATTATGTTTGCTGTGATAACAGCAATGGTAGAAAGTATTCAACAAAGCACACCAAACAAAAGGGATGTTACCATTTTTTTTAACATGTGATAAGATTATCTGAGGCAATACCTTCCTAATTATGATTTCCTTAGGTTACTAAATTTGGATATATTAAATGTTGGAATATGTAGGACAACAGCCAGAACACTTAAGCCTGCCAGAGATTAGCCACATAATTTGTCATTTATTTATAAGTAACTAAGCACAGCCTAAATTTAAGCTATCAAAAGATACTAATATTTATTTCATAATGTAGGTCACAAATAAGATAAATATATAAAATAGGTTTGAACTTTTCTAAAGAACCCTGACTTTTGCCGGTCCTGGGGCAAGTGAAATACATATTGAAGCAAATATGATTAAATAAAATTCAGTATATATTACTACAAACATTTCTTAAAAGGCAGGCTTATGGAAGTTTAAATGACCATCCTGCTTCCCCAAGTGTCTCCCTGTAGTTCAATCTCCATATAATAGTTAGGGTGATCTTTATAATCATATCATTTCCCAATTAAAACGCTGTCATGGCCTTATATTAGAATTAGAATAAAATCTACGCAACCCTAGGTATCTGGCCCTGTCTAGCTCTCATGTCTCAACTTCTACCACTTCCTTTGACTCACTCAACTCCAGCAACTCTGGCTTTTCTTTTCCTAGATCAGGTCAAGCTGTTCCCATCTCAGGTGTTTTACATTCCTTTGCCTACAAGACTCTTCATTCAGATTCTAGGTGTGGTAACCTCCCCCTCATCCTTCCTCATCAGTTCCCAATTCAAATATTGCTTCTCCAGAGAGGCTTTTCCAGACCATAGGCCCATTCTTCTTTAGGTTAACCATTACTAGATTATTATGATCTGCTACCCGACTAGTACTAATTGTTATCTAAACCATTTGTTTACATGTTTACTAGTTGACGTTTCTTAATGAGGGCAGAACCTGCATCTTGTTCAAAATACATCCCTAACTGTTAGAGCACTATATGACACAGCAGACACTCAACTAATTTTTTGAGTGAATTAATTAAAGTATCAAACTTTACTGGTTTGTAAAATACTGAAGGGTAGTCTAGAGAAAAAAACAAAACTGTATTTTATGTTAACGATTAAAACTAATTAAGTAAAACTATTTTGAAAAGGCTAAAGACTAAAGAATATTCAAAAACAATAATAAAAAATGAAAGAGAAGGCCAGGCATGGTGGCTCATGCATGTAATCCCAGCACTTTGGGAGGCCGAGACGGGCAGATCACTTGAGGTCATGAGTTCAAGACCAGCCTGGCCAACATGGTGAAACCCATCTCCACCAAAAATACAAAATTTAGCCGGGGGTGGTGGCACACACCTATAATCCCAGCTACTTGGGAGGTGAGGCAAGAGAATCGCTTGAAACCAGGAGGCAGAGAAGGTGGTGAGACAAGACTGGGTCACTGCACTCTAGCCTGGGTGAAAAAACGAGACTCCCTCTCAAAAAAATAAAAAAAAAGAGTAGAGAGCACAAAGGTCAGAAATGAAGTCCCATTATTAAACATAGGCTATTTCAACATAGGAGTTTCTTTAAAGTTTAACAATGAAAGTTAGTTTAATCTGTAAGAGACAAAAGCAGATATGTAAACAAATTCAAACCTTACGTTTTACCCCCAAACAAGGTCAGCTGAAAAGGCTGAAAGGGCCCATAGAGGTTTAGAACTTTTAAAAAACCAATGCTTGGCCAGGCGCCATGGCTCACGCCTGTAATCCCAGCACTTTCGGAGGCTGAGGCAGGTGGATCATGAGGTCAGGGGATGGAGACCATCCTGGCTAACACGGTGAAACCCCGTCTCTACTAAAAATACAAAAAAATCAGTCAGGTGTGGTGGCGGGCGCCTGTAGTCCCAGCTACTCGGGAGGCTGAGGCAGGAGAATCCTTCTAACCCTGGAGGCAGAGGTTGTGGTGAGCCGAGATCACGCCACTGCACTCCAGCCTGGGCGACAGAGCGAGACTCTGTCTCAAAAACAAAACACAAAAAACAAGAAACAATGCTTGCCACCTTCCCTTACCTAAACAACAAAAACCCAAACAAAACTCAAATGAACAGTTTTCTAACCAAGAACATTTCTTTGATTATTTTCATAATTAGTTGTGAGAGTAGATAGGGCAGAATGAGATCACCAATAAATTACGACTCAAGTTCAGTAGTCTGTCAGTAAGAATTTTCCCATGAAAAACAGTTGAGGAAAAGGCTTAGATTTCCCTTGCTTGAAATTAGATTCTAGACAGTTACAGTTATATAATCATAGCAATTATCTGTGCTATTTTCCCAATCTTGTAAAAGTCTGGAAGTTGGGGGAGGGTTTAAAAACATATATATACCTTTGCAAATACCAAAAAATCAGAATGAACAGTCATTCATTATTTCTACTATCTTAATTTGAGACAAATAAAATTGAAATAAAATGAGGTCCCAGATTTGAAAAGGGAAAGACAATGCTCTTGGCTTTGCTGCAAGTGAATGAAGGCAATCTCATTCCATCTTAACAAATCTAACAAATCTAATAAACACACTTAGCATTGCCCTTCCTAAGTCTTTCTCATCTAGGTCACTTTCTCCTTCCCTCTTGGAATTTTCTTCCATTGCGACTACCACTCTCCACCAGTTTTTGACTTCTGAAAATGCAGTATCTTTTGAATCTACTTAATCCTTCATACCTAAAAGGTTGGTTTCACCAAGGCTCTTCTAATACTACATATATTATATTTCCTCTGAACCTATCAACCCTTGTAGTTTCCTAAAAACCCAGGCATTATACCTAGATACCTCTTTCCTATCATTAATCAAATATAACTGGCCACCAGGTCCTGTCCCCTCTACCTACTTATTTACCAGTTTTTCCTACCCAAGTTTCAACACGAACTTTATTAAATACAAACTTGGAAATGCCACTTTTCTGATTAAATCTGTGGTTTAGCAGAGTTTACAGAAGACTTTCTTACTGGAAGATATTGGGCCTTTCACATTAGACTCCTCAAAGTGAGTCCAGATGCAGTGGCTCATGCCTAGAAACTCAGCACTTTGGGAGGCTGATGCACGAGGATTGCTTGAACCCAGGAGTTCAAGATCAGTCTGGGCAACCGCAGCAAGACATGTCTCTACAAAAAAATTTTTTTTTTTTTTTTTTTAAATTAGCTAGGTGAGAGAGTACACACTAGTCCCAGCTGCTTTGAAGGTTAAGGTGGGAGGATTGATTGATCCCAAGAGGCTGGGACTGCAGTGAGCCATGATTGTGGACTACACTCCAGCCTGGTTGACAGAGCAAGACTGTCTCAAAAAAAAAATTGTCAAAATTAGCTGGGTGTGGTGGCACATGCCTGTAATCCCAGCTACTTGGGAGGCTGAGGGAGAACTGCTTGAATCCGGGAGGCAGAGGTTGCAGTGAACCAAGATCATGCCATTGAACTCCATCTCAAAAACAAACAAACCAACCAAATAAAGCAAGAACGAGGAGCCTGTGAATCAATTTCCTATTTATTCCATCTCAAAAAAAAAAAAAAAAAAAAGTGGTGGCTCATGCCTGTAATCCTGGCACTCTGGGAGGCCGAGATGAGCAGATCACCTGAGGTCAGGAGTTTGAGACCAGCCTGGCCAACATGGTGAAACCCCATCTCTACTAAAAACCAAAACTTAGCCTGGGATAGTGGCAGGCACGTATAATCCCAGCTACTTGGGAAGCTGAGGCAGGAGAATTGCTTGAACCCAGGAGGCGGAGGTTGCGGTGAGCTGAGATCGCGCCATTGCACTCCAGCCTGGGCAACAAGAGTGAAACTCTGTCTCTTAAAATCCCAAAAAACAAAAAACAAAACTCAAAAAATAACAGATGCTGGCAAGGTTGTGGAGAAAAGGGAACACTTATACACTGCTGGTGGGAATGTAAATTAGTTAAGCCATTGTGGAAAGCAGTTTGGTGATTTCTCAAATAACTTAGAATTGCCATTTGATAGAGCAATCCCATTATTGGGTATATACCCAAAGTAATATAAATTTTTCTGCCATAAAGACACATACCCGTGCGTATATTCATTGCAGCACTATTCACAATAGCAAAGACATGGAATCAACCTAAATATCCATCAACACTAGACTGGATTTAAAAAAATGTGGTGCATATACACAATGGAATACTACACAGCCATAAAAACTTTGAGTACCTGCGGACACAAAGAAGGGAACAACAGCCACCAGGGTCTACCTGAGGGTAGAGGGTGGGAGGAGGGTGAGAATTGAAAAAACTACCTATCAGGTATTATGCTTATTACCTGGGTGATGAAAAAATCTGTACACCAAATCCCTATGACATGTAATTTATCTAGGTAACAAACCTGAGTGTAACCCTGAACCTAAAAGTTTAAAAATAAGAATAAAAATAATTGGGGGGTTGGGGTTAGGGCTCAGGAAACTTTTCTAATCCCTCAAGTGACCTTTTTTTTTTTTTGAGACGGAGTCTCTCTCTGTTGCCCAGGCTGGAGTGCAGTGGTTCGATCTTGGCTCACTGCAAGCTTCGCCTCCTGGGTTCCCGCCATTCTCCTGCCTCAGTCTCCTGAGTAGCTGGGACTACAGGCACCTGCCACCACGCCCGGCTAATTTTTTTGTATTTTTAGTAGAGATGGGGCTTCATCGTGTTAGCCAGGATGGTCTCAATCTCCTGACCTCATGATCTGCCTGTCTTGGCCTCACAAAGTGCTGGGATTACAGGTGTGAGCTACCACGTCTGGCCACCAAGTGACTCTTAAATATATCAATCTTAGGAAGCACTAAGCTATAGGATTTAAGGTCAAACTCCTGGAAACTTATCTAAGGTTCTTTAATGATCTGGTCTCTGCTAATCTTTCTGAGCTCAAATTTCACTACTACCTGTATATGCAAACTTCTTCTGCCATTGTAAGGCACTACTTATAGTTCTCTAACACAGCTTATTGATTTTTCCCCCATGTTTCTAAGCTTTGCAAATGCTGTTCATTTTCCAAGACTGACATTCTCCCTTTTGTAAGCCTATGAATGCATTTTCCCAAATTCACTGTGAAGACTTATCTGAGCACAAAGTTACAGGGGTCTCTTTGCTTGGTTCCCATAGCATTCTGTGCATATCAAGTCTAACACAATTTAGGTCTGTTTCCCTGTCACCAAATTGTGAACTCTCTGCAAGTAAATACTGAATTACTCATCTTTGAACCTTGAACATATGCTAGAATAATGACAAAAGACTTTGGAATGAATAAGAAGAAAAAAGGCAAAAAAAAACCCCACTTAGAAATAATACAGAATCAGTAGTGATGCACTAATGTTCCTTGGGTTGAAGCCTTGATACTCTCAACACTCTCCACCCTGATTACATTAACCGACCTTACACACGAGATTGGTTGTTTGATATATTAATTATATAATATTTACCACTCAAAGGACTCAAAGATGTTTTTTATAACTCACAAAATTTGTAGTTTCTATTATAAGCCTTTCCTCCTTAAATTAAAAAACAATGGTTAGAAGCACATACTTTCAATACTCAGTCTATATTCTTTGAATACACCTCCATGAAAAACAATTAAAACACTAGCAGCAACTTATCCAATTTATGTTTGGCATGTTGAATAATTTCACTTAGACTTTTGGCCAAACTCTTGGTTCTTCCTTAGTGATTAAGCAGATGAATGGCAGTTCAGGACAACCTTCAATAATGTGGTATTTATGACCAAAAAATATATATATATATATTTTTCTTAAACAAAAGTTTATAATCAACCAAAATTTAATAAAAAACATTGTTCTAATAGTTTCAGGGCCAAAATGACAGTAGTTCATGCATGTGTAACATTCAGTGAACAGCCTTGGTATATCACTAATTAGCTCTGAGGAGGAGCTCACCCTGCTGGCCCTGGGGCGTCTGTGAGATGATAAACTGCGCTGGCTGCAAATTGGTGGTTGGATGCACCAACACAAACTGTTGCAGGTTGAGATTCTGCTGTTGAAGCTGTTGCAGTTGTTGAAGATCCTGAAAAATTGGAATTAAAACATGGATTGGAGATTCTGAAATAAAAGTTCACTTAATTATAAGGCTTCCAGCTGATGATTTCTGTCACCTCCAAATAAAGAAGAGTAAATACTTGGCATGCTTTCATATTCCAAACAGGGTATGCTGTGTGTGTGCTTGACAAAGCATGTGAAGCAACCTGGAGCCTCTGCAACTTACTTACTATTTTTGTGGACTGACATATATTGTTATGATAAGCCTAATTTTCAAAGGTTCTTTAAAATTCCCTCAGAACAAATATACTTCTGTTTTTTATCACATAAAGACTAGTTTTAAAAATCAAGTGAGAAAATGGTTTTTAAATATTTGATATTCTCTTAAATAAAAATTAATCGCATTATATCTGAATTTCCATCAATAAAAGGCCTATAATGACTTATGACATTTGACAACAGCTTATCTAACTTAACTGAAAAAATCAGTATTCAATTTTTTTGCCCTTTTCCACATGTTCTAAAGTATTCAATTTTTTAAAACAAAAAATAGCTATCCACATAAAAATTTGATCCCTAACAACAATAGCACCTTACATTGGCCTACTATTTTATAATTTTCAAAGTGTTTCATGTACGTTATCTTATTTAGACTAATGTTCATATAAGGTCTCACAGCTGGCACTAAAAACATTTATCTGGTGATGAGAAAGTGGCCAAAATCAAAACATTATCTTGATAAAGACTGTATAAAGACTAGTCTGATATCTCTACTCTTATAGTTAGTTCTTTTTAAATGGTTAGTCAAACTCTTGCTAGAAGTTAAGTCCATTTCTGAGTCTTTTCTGACAGGCATAAAGACAGCTGTCTAACAATTAGACTCATAACTCTTCATATATTTTACTGGTACAACTACTTACACCTTTTTCCTCTTCCTGAGATAAAAGATTTTATTTATTTTCCTCCTTGGTACTATTGTGTATGCTTCTTAAATAAATTTTTTTTTTTTTTTTGAGATGGAGTCTCACTCTGTCACCCAGGCTGGAGTGTAGTGGCGCAATCTCGGCTCACTGCAAGCTCCGCCTCCTGGGTTCACGCCATTCTCCTGCCTCAGCCTCCTGAGTAGTTGGAACTACAGGTGCCTGCCTCCACGCCCGGCTAGTTTTTTATATTTTTAGTAGAGACGGGGTTTCATTGTGTTAGCCACGATGGTCTCGATCTCCTGACCTCGAGATCTGCCGGCCTCAGCCTCCCAAAGTGCTGGGATTACAGGTGTGAGGCACCATGTCCAGCGCTTCTTAAATAAATTTTTATTATCTCTAGATACTTTGCCCTAAAATGTGAAAACTGAAACCAAACAACATTCTAATGCAATCATGTTCTCCACAATGTTAATCACTCCATAGCAGAGATTACTCACTGTTTCTCTCATACATGGGTGGCAACATTCACCGCAGAGCACATGAAAAAAATTCATGTCTGCTGTAATTAGCTAATTAAAATAAATACAGTAATCCCCTGCTTCAAAAATATGCCAGCTAATTATTCAAGAATTGTCAATATAAATAGTTATTCAAATAATCAGCTATATGTTTATAATATCAACTACAATAAGCAAACAAACATTACTTCTAATTCAGTGGTAAGGAAGGGTACCACTTACCTCACTGATCCAGAGCTCCTCAGGCAGTTAAGGCCCCACACTAACAATCAAAAAGTTAATTTAACATTAAATAAAACCTGCCACTTTATTCCTCACTTGCTGCTCCCGCTATTGGAGTTCCTTACTCACCTGTGCGATCTGTATGGGCTGAGACAGGGGGATCTGCGTCATGGGCGTGGCAGCAGAGGCGGAGATGGTGGCCCCAGCAGCACTGTGCTGCTGGCTGGCGGAGTGCTGCTGCACTGCAGCGGCCAGCAGCTGTGCCTGTGCCTGTGCCTGCTGGAGTAGTAACTGTTGCTGGGCAGGCGTCAAAGTAAGCTAAACAAAATCAGAACACATAATGGGAAAGTGTTGAAGGAGAAAGTCTCCCAATGCGAGTCAACTGCTTTGTAATAGGTAACTCAAATGATATTAGTCCCCAGCGACCCCACTTCACATGCTTAGCAGACAGCTAAAATGTTCATCAGTGATCAAACCACCATTACTAGCAGAACATTTAAATTAAAATGGTGGTCCCCACTCTGGACTTAATCATTCAAGCTTGTCCAGGGCCCTAGGGTTTGGTCAAGAAAGTAATTAACTAGTAAGCAAGGAAAAAAAAAAAAAAAAAAAAGAATCACCGCTGACAGGATATGAAAAGAAATTTACACCCAACCGAACAGCAAGTGATTAGTCAGATGAATGAGGAACAAGGATGCTGGATATAACCAAGGAAAGAACTGATAAGGCCCAGCTGCTTCCTATTAGCATGAATCCCTGCCATATTCCATCATTTCCATTAAGTCCAAAGATATGACTAAAGAATATGAGCTCCATTTGTTTCTTTTACAAGTCTCCCTACAGGCCCCTCCCTAATACAATCTTTTCTGTGATTGAAAGCATTGAGTCTCTGCAACTTTACATCTCCTTCCCAACACATTATCTCTATGAAACAGGTGGTGATAGCTGTTCTCTTTACATGCAAATGAACCCGAATGCCCAGGTTTAATAGAAGCTCCAGCCACAGGAACTTAGAATCCCAACTCCCTCTTACTATTGTAGACACTAGTCACCAAAAACAAGACCCAAATAGTAAAGTAGGAAATGTATTTACAGCATATTTAAACTTGCTTTCATAATGCAACTTATTTCAAACACACTTAAATCATAGTAAGTGTGTTCTACTTTTCTTTTGGTGACATGTTCTGATTGATCAAATAAGATGGAACCATAATTTTCTGAAGTATATGTACAGTCACTTAGTGCCACAACCTCCTCTAAAAGAATCAAACACAATTTGTGCATTAGAAACATAAGGCTCAAAACCAAACCATTCAAAAACTCAAAACCCTTTAAGGGATATGTGTATATATAAAGTATAGATATATTTTTAATTTTTATATAATATATATACATACATACATCTCTACTGATGGGATTTTTGTAAACAATTTTGCAACAGTTCTTAAAACAGTTGTCCACTGACAAAATACACAACTGGAAAAAAAAAAAAAAAGAAACAGAAAAAAAAACCCCAGAAAATTCTTGGGAGTTAATGCGATGTGAATTGAATAATAACTATTCCTTACTATTGCCCTAAACCAATCCCCACAAAGATAATTTAATACACAAATTTTCAACATTGGAAAAATATTTTGAATGGTGCCTTAGAGAAAAGACAGCTGAAAACTTAAAAGCTTAATATAGTCACACAGGTCAATTTATTAACAATAAAAAATAAATGACAGACCTCAGCCTTTTGGCTAAGATCAAGAATAAAAATAAACAACATTTGTTGAATGCTACATGCAAAGCACTGTTCTATAAGCTTTATAGTATTATCTCCAATCTTCACAACATAATGTAAGATGGGTATTATTAGTATCTCCATTTAACAGAAGGAAAACTGAGGTAGAGGAAAATGAAGTAATTAGGCACACGGTAAGTTGGAGAGTTAGGATATGAAGCCACATGTTTTATTTTAGACCATTACACAGTAACTTAAAGAAAAAAGTTTTTCTTTTGCAGGTACTAATCCATTCTTTAACTTCTACCCTGCAGTGATGTCTTAACGCCAAATGGACAACTGCCATTTTCAGTGTAATGATCTCAACTATATGATAATTACTCCATTGCAAGATGAAGCGACACCTGAAACGGGGGTTTAATAAAGTTGTAATTTATCCAGAGCATCCACAATTCTAACAAAAGATATCCTGAAAACTTATGACAAAGATAATTCCTTTTTCAGAGCTATGTACAGTGTAGGAAGTTCCTTAAAGACACAATAGTGCCAGGCATAGCCATGTTACTGCCAGCTATGGTGAAAAATTCTAATCAGATATTGGCCAATGGCAGTTCTGACACAGAAAAAGTTTATTATAATTCTCTCAGTCAACACTTACCCCAGTTATCTGTCCTCCAGCTAGCATAAGCTGGGTCTGGGGAATGGCTGCCTGCACTGAAGGCTGCTGGGAAGGCTGGCTTGGCTGCTGTGAATCCCCCGAGTCTTCATTAGATTTAGACTGAGGTGGAGTGGGGTAGGAAATAAAAGATTGCAAATAGTTGATTAAAAGAAATGTACTTAAAACCCCATCTTTTAGGAATCCTTTAAACCATGGACTTACTCAGTCATGAGTTCTGGTTTACCTCCTTTCTTTTCTTTGTATCTTCCTAGTTTCACATAGTAAGTTTTTAGACTTTTTAATTTCAATGCCAGCAAAGCTGCTACTATAATTTTTAAAAATAAATAGTCATCCCCCACCAATTTATAGATTATTTTTCATAGCCCCCAGTTCCTCAACTCTAGAAATAGGGGGTAAAGGGAAGGACACATTTTCAATTCACCTTTACATTAGACCTTCCATACCAATATTTTAACACACCTGGTGGTCAGTCTGAAACTTCTCCATATACCACCTCAGAGAATGATCGCTTGATCCACAGAACTTTCCACCTAATATTTTACAGAACGGTAAATCTAGCAACTCCCATCAACTAACACACAAGCTCAGAGAGAAAATGCTGCAGTCAAGAGAGAGGGGCACGAAGAGAAAATTTTATGGTAATTAAAACTGGTTATGCAAAGCATTAAAATTCTGCATAGATTTGCATATTTCCCACCACCTGTTTTAGGGACTGCAGCAAGGCTAATTAACATAAATGCTCTGATTAATTCTGCCAGTCATTGAGAGATAATTACAGTGCAGGACTGTAAACATTCTGCACTGGAGATACAGCCTGTTTGCCAACATCTCTCTAAGGGATGAAAGTTTACCATGGCAACCAAGGCAATTTTCCGCCTCCTCTCCCTCAGAAAGTAAGGTCATATTATCTCTTTTTCTTTTCTCTCCTTGTTCCCACGTGTTACTAGGTCCATATTCAACTGGGTTTCATGAAATGCTCAACCCAAGGTCTTTAGTCATTAGCAACACTGAAATCAATCTTCCATAATACTGTCTTTCTCTCTTGACTGCTAGTTACCTAAACACTATAATGAAAGGAACCAGCAGGTTGATACAAATGTTAGAGAGCACTGCCTAACACTTGAACTTTGTATGTTTTGCCATATGGTTCAAAGAAGGAAAGTGGCCAGATTTGTTTTAACATTTTGACTGTCTGTCCACCAGTATCTATGAACAAGTTTAATTACAATTATTAGAAACCTAACATTTTAGGGTGGAAAGGAACCCTGGCAATCTTATAAAAGTCCCCACTTAAGTACAGATGAGAAAAACTGAACCCAAGGAGGTTATGTGACTTGCCAAAGGTCACACAGCTAGTCAGTGGCAGAATGAGAATGCAAACCTGGTCAAACTGTTTTTGTGAACACTTTTGTGAACAGTCCAGTGTTCTTTCCTCTGCCCTATAAGGTCTCCCTAAGACATCAAAAATGATAAATAACAAGCCTTTTGGAAACAAACTGGCATTTAAGAGAACTTTCAGGCTGTGTGTTTAGGTATGTGTTATAGCAGTATAACTTAGAAACATTTTTACTGAACTTACACATATAACTTGGAAAGCAGACTTTTCCTGTCCATCTCTCGTTCATGCACAGTAGCAGAATATAAAATTGATTTTCATTAATGGTAATAATTATCATTATTTGAATCTTCACGAGATTCACTAATTTTAAAAAGGTAATACTTCTAAGCATTTTCTATTATAAAATATATGCTCACTATAGAAAATTAGAAAAATTTAAGAAAAAATAAATAAAAGATTGATCCATAATCCCAGGTCCCAGTTTACCTGTACATTTAAAGACTGAGCAGCAGCCTGTAAACTTGTTCCAGCGAGTTGGACCTATAAGTAATCAGGGGAAATTCTAGTTTAATACTGTTGACATTCATCACAAGGGGTTGTCATCACTAAATATTTTAAGTCTACTATGTGTCACCGAGCTAGAACTGAGAAGACAAAGAGGTCTGTCTTACTGAGTTAAAACTTTATGAACAAGCTAAGTCCCTTCTCAACCCACCCTACCCCACTCCCACTGGTCCCACAGAAAAATGCTGTTAATCTTTTTTTGAAGACGTTTTCCCACACTAAATGAACACTATCAGCCATGCCACACTTGTATTGAATGTTCCTTATATAACATTCTGTTTGTATTCATAGAATGCTTAGATCCTAAAAATTTAATTAATCTTCCACATTGTCTTAAAGAACATATAATAAGCTATCTATATACATTATTTATTATTAGAAACAATCAGAACCATCTACTTATTTTAATTTCAAATGTCCCATGTATACACCAGAGTAGAAATATATTTACACACCCACACAGCCCAGTCCTTAAAACATTTATAATCATAACTTAAAACTCTTAGCCGAAATAAGAAATCTATCCTATAAACCACACATAAATGTCTGTCAAAACATTTCATACATTCAGGAAGTTCAAATCATGGTTATATGAAAATAAGGATACACATGGAATTAGAAAACCATCATTTGGCAACTATGATAAGAACTATGATTTAGACAGAGTCATCAATGGATAACTGATGGGTGAGAAATCTGAGGAGTAACAGGATATTTACATATTCTCAACTATGTCTCCAATGATACTTAATACTTACAAAGGGTAAAATAGTGTCTTTTCATTGGAGAAACCTGGCAGACAAATAATCAAGTGAGCACAAACAAGAGTCATCAGGAAGGAGACACATGCCTTCTGCTATGATGCACTGAGAGGAATGCAGCATACCTAACAAAAGTATAGAATCTGAATCTAATCACAATGAAAATCAGACAAACCCAAACTGAGAAACACTACAAAATAACTGGTGTATACTGCTGTCCTGAAACAAAGAAAGACTGAGAAGGGAGAAAGAGAATATAAACTAGGCTAGAATACATGGAAAACTAAACTAGAATGGTGGCAGTGGGAATAAAAAGTAGGAAACATGCAAGTCTCTGCAATGTACTACATAAGGATCCTGCCTGGATTTAGATGAAAAGAAGAGAGTCATACATTATTCCAGGGTTCAAATCTGGGCAAATGGAAAATGTTAGTACCACTAACAGGGACAGGGAAGATAATGAGTTTCATTTTGTATATACCGCATAGCATCAAGATGTCCTGAGATTAAATATAAATGTTGGTATGGAGCTCAGTAAAGAGTTAAAAGCTAAAATGCATTGACTACTATGTCCTTTATTTGAAACTGCTAGTCCTGTTAGTAGATGAGAACCCTCGAACACAAAAACAAAAAAAACCAAATCTGAAGACATATGTAGAACACATTTAAAATACAGTGTAATCAGGAGAGGCCTACCTGAAGAGATAATATGTTTAAGGCCTAAAGGCTAAGAAGTCAAAGAGCCCAAGGAAAGAGCTTCAGGTACAAAGATTTGAAGAAGATAAAAATTTTATGTGGTTTTTACTCATTATGTTTCAGGGTAAAAGTTTGTTGAGGAACGGGATATTTATACAGTCTTTAAAGTACTGCCTCACAGAGTATTACCTACCAGAAGGCAAAAAAACATATTTACAGTGGACAAATCTGATCAACACTACCTTAATAAAATAATCAAACTTAATATCACAATAATGGGACAAAGCAATATGATATGGCTTCTGAATGCACCGAGAGGGACTCAGCATCACTTCTCTTGTATTCCTTTCAAAAATGCGTAACTTGAATTCAGCCATTGAGGGAACAATCAAACACATTCAAGTTAAAGGGGCATTCTATAAAACAGCTGGCCTCTATTCTTCAAAAATGCCAATATCATGAAAGACAAAGACATGTTGAGGAATTGTTCTGGATTAAAGAGACTTAACAGACATGACAGCTAAATGCAAAGTATGGACTGGATTGTGGGCAGGAAGTATATAAATATGGGCCAATATTGGAAAATGATATCGCATCAATGTTAAGTTTCTGGAATTTGAAATTTGCACTGTAGTTTTATCAGAGAATGCTGTTTTTATGAAAAACATGCTGAAGTATTTAGAAGTAAATGGTTACAATGTCTGCAACTTTCAAAGGAGTTAGCAAAAAAAAATTTTTTTGGCTTGGTGCCATGGTATACGCCTATAATCATAGTTGTATAGGAGGCAGGAAGATCACTTGAGCTCAGGAGTTGGAGATCAACCTGGGCAACATAATAAGACCTCATCTCAAAAAAAAAATTTGTGTACATACATACATATACACATATGGTATAAAGCAAATGCGGTAAAATAGTAACAATCGGTGATTCTAGGGGAAGGGCTTTCAGATGAACACTGTTCTATTGTTGTAACTCTTATAGATTTGAAAGCTTTTTAAAAATAGGAAGTTAAAAATAAAGAGAGAGCATTCCTTTACCAACTCCATTTAGCTAGTTTCTAACACCCTTCAAGACTCAGCTCAAAAATCACCCTGAGAGAAATGTCTTAGACTGTAGGGGTTAAGCTAATCATTTCTTCCTCAGTAGTCTCATACTTGACCATTTAGTCATCTATGAATTTATTCAACAAATAATTACTGACACCTGTTGTATCATGGGGTTCTTTGGTAAATGCTGGGACACAGGTAAACAACAAAAGGTTTCCATTTTTATGGAACTTATAGTCAATGGGGCAACAGACCTAAAACCATCCATTTTGTGTATGTATATTATAATTATGGTAAGGAAAGGTTCAAAGTGCTAATTCTCTCAATAAGGGAGCTGGAAACAGAAGGCAAGTGTCACACTGTTAATTATGTATCTAATCAGATGCAAGGACTTGTGTCTTGATGGGAGATTTAATGGTGTCGCAATTTCAAGTAAAATTCTTTGGTTTGCAGTCCTGTGGTCTGGGTGGTATTGAAGGGTCTATGACTTTGGTAATCAGTGGCCAGATCTAGAGGTCTCGGAGCTGGTACAGGGAGAGTTGCAATCATCTCGGAATTTGGACCCAGTGGGGAGAAAACTGCACATCATCTGTGAGCCCTCAGGGAGTCTTTAATACATTTGGACCATCACATATTTAAGCCAGATAAAGATGCTTACTAGGTCCAAATAATTGACTAAATTCTGTCAAAAATGCTATTCCTCTTAGGAACCCAGAAAAATTAGTGGAGGCTTGAATATGTTCTTAGAAAAAAAATCAACATGAAAACATTTTTTTCTTCTAGGATATATTTAAAATATTTTAAAATCCATTTTAGATGTTGATTTATCTTAATATTTTATCTGAAAGTTAATGTCAAAGTTTTTCCATTTCAAAGATACAAACAAAGCTATGTGCCTGAGCAAAAGTGTTCCATTAGGCCTCACTCTAATAGAAGATGATAACTGCTGCCTACAGGATATCCCTTTGAGTCTGTGAACAAATAAATGGGCTTTAGAACAGCTTTCCAGGATTTTACCTGCTTTCAAGTAGAAGAATTTCTTTTATAGTTTAGGTGGTCTGATGATATATTTTGATGAAAAAACTTTAGTAAGATGTATATATTCAGTGCTCAGTAACTTAATATGTTAATATGTAACCTGGCAGGTCTTATGTCCATACGGATTTTTCACTGAATCACTACCATCACCATCATTAGGCATCATCACTAGCACCATCACTATCAACACATGTAGACCACCAAAATATTGCTCTAATATATAACTGTGAACATGAGTCAAGGGGTTGAGATACTCTGATAGTCTAGCTCCCAACTGTTTTCACTGTTTCCCATTTTTAATCAGCTTCCATATCCCAAAACTATTGAGTACCAGTGTTTGTTTTTTTTATTCCCGTTCCCTCTACATTATAGCTAAAACATGAATGAACAGAATTCATGGTCTGTTTTAGACCCAGGGAAAAAAATGTTGTGACACAGGCTAACAAAGTTGAGGCAGAGTCTTTTGAACCTCAAACTAGGGGGCGGGGGTCATAGTCAAGCAAAAGCCTCTGAGTAGTTGCCCAAATCAACTGTCATGGTCTGGAACTGTTTTAGAGGACAGAAATGAGCTTGCAGCTCAGAGCCTTTTACAGCAGGTCTCAGGCAATGGTAGCTACATCTTTTTGGATGATTTTGATAATTTCTACCATCAGGCAGCCGCCACAGATACCCACTTACAAAAACAGCAAACCAGTTACTATACACATTCCATTCACAACAAGGAATTCCTTTGTTTCCCACACACCTGTGGAGTCAATGACTCTACACTCAACTAAACTATAGGATTTCATACTAACCAAATAGAATGACACAATTACACATAATTAGCATTAGGCTTTAAATAAGTTAAAAGGTTCCACATTCTGAAATAACTTCCTTAGGCCCCAGTATTTTATGCCTCTATCTTTCACTCTCACTGATGGTTGAGCAGAACATTCCTACCTGATGGAGATGTCCAAGGAAAGCCTGCGCCTGGGCTGTTGAGATTGCTCCTCCTACAGGCACAGGCTGCTTCTGAAAGTCCAGACCATTGGTTTGTGTGCCTAGAAAGCAAGCAAAATGATTACAACTATTAAAAGAAATAAATGAAATAAAGCACTAGATTTCAGTTACCAACATTCATCAGGCACCTATTTTGCATAAGTACTTTCCTAAATACCTCCAAGGAGAAGGGATTCAAAAGAAAGGAAACACAGTAAAATGGTTTATCTTCTAAAAGTAGGACTGCATGACAAGTACACAAACACTGATAAGCTTAAGAAACAGAAACAAAAATATAAATAATAAATTACAATCATAAGATGGTGTGTGAAAATTCAGATGTGAATGCAGCGACCGGAGCAGCTAGCATAGGAACAGAGTTCAAAGAGACCCTGAGGCTCTCTTCTATTTTCAGCTTACTTGATATGTGGCTAGACAGAAGAAATTCACTGGTGACTTTGCCAAGAGCAAGAAAGACTTATTATTAACTCCAAACACTTTAATGAATAGCAATCTGATGGCAAAAAGCAACCTTTTCCATGATAAGCATAAAGAAAACAATAGCTGTACTAATTCCTTGAATCCTAAACAACAGATCGCTGCATGTATCTCATTAGCAAGGGCCCTGCTATAATTATATTTTTCAAAACGTTATGCGAAGCTGGGTGTGATGGCTCATGCCTGTAATCCCAGCACTTTGGGAGGCCGAGGTGGGTAGATGGCTTGAGCTTATGAGTTCGAGACCAGCCTGGGCGGCATGGTGAAACCCCGTCTCTATAAAATATCAGCCAGGTGTGTGGTGGTGCGTGCCTGAAGTCCCAGCTACTCTGGAGGCCAAGCGAGAATGGCTTGAGCCCAGAAGACGGAGGTTGCAGTGAGCCAAGACCACGCCACTGCACTCCAGCCTGGGTGATAGAGGTACAACTTGTCTCAAAAAAAAAAGAAAGAAAGAAAATAAAAATGTTATGCGAGCGCTTTTTAACCACTTTTGCTGTGATCTGATATTAGAATAGGGCTAATTTATGGAAAGATAGGCCACCCTAACACCCAGAAATATTTTCTAAGGTATTATAATACATTGTTTTCAAATTACTATATCTGGTTATTATTTAGAAAAAGTCAGAACATCATGTACTGAATAAAATATAACAGACCACAGGAATCTGTAAGAATTGTCTAGACCATGGATATGGTTCTACACTTCCATTTCCTACCACTCAAATACCCCATCTTCCCATCCTTACACCTGTGTGTGCACACACATCCAGAGCAGACCAGTCAGAAGAGCACAAAGTTAGAACCTTGCAGCAGGGTTTCTAAGACAGTGCTAACGTCTGCCAATATACACACCCTAATTTCTGGCAGATGTATTACTTAAATAAGAATGAATAATTAGGTATAGCATATGAACCAGAGCCCTATTTGTTTCCTTGAGATAATTATAAAAGATATGTATAAATATTTCACTTTCTAAAAATTCATAAAATTGCTTCTTCTATTTTTTCCTAAAGTCTTCCACAAATAGAAAACTATAGAACTACTTAGACATACATAGTTAGTAAAATTGAGTGCAGGCTTGTGTCAAGTAATTGAAAACATGCATGAAAATAAAATGTAATTAGAGTCACCTCCTTTATTTTTTCTTATTTTTTTCCACGACGACATTCTAGTCAAGTAGAGTCACTTCCATAAGCTACACGTAGAAGTTTCACTATTTTAAAGTTGTGCGTTTGTCATGAGTTGCTATCTCTATCCCTACGCAGGATTATCGGTACCTTTGCGGAGATTTTAAGATAGTACGGCATTGTATTATTTTGTCAATCATACCTCAATAAAACTGGAGGAAAAAGAGACTGTTCGCCATTAGAGAAACATGCTCAAGATATATTAAATAAATCAACAAGGCTAAAAGAATATGAGATTTTGAAAAACAGAGACAACACTTAAAAGATTAACACAGTACTAATAGGAGGTCTTCGAGAACCAAATATTTCACTCTCATGGAGTCTGTGGAAATTCTGTATACTGGTTCCACTTTCAAGTTGCATAAAAATGCTATCAAAGCTGCTTATAAGTCACAAAGCACTAAATAATACAGAGAGACTGATGTCTAGTATTCCTGGTACAATGGTCTACTGGTAATAGTATTTAAGTGCCCTGGTTCTGCCTCTGGGGGGAGGATGAGCTGAAGGCATGGTCTCTGTATTGTAAAATGTTCTTACATTTTTAATAAATGATATTTTGACATCATAAAAACCTTTCTGGCTGGGGAGAGACTGCCCCTCCCAGGTTTAGTCAATTCTTGGAGACAGCAAAGGGCCCAGCCAGGAGCATGTCTTTGATACACAAACTAACCAATCTAGAGCCAAATTTCCTCAATCAGACTCTAGAGGCAATATTCTGCCTTCATCCTAGGGCCAGGTACCAGGCAACTAGAGACCACCCCTAGGTGGTCCCAAAGCCCTCCAAAATTATTGAAGTTAGCCAATCCTAAACTGCTTACTCTGTCCTGACTTTCCCACAGAACCTCCAACAAAGGTAGTGGCCTAGAGCCAGTGGGTGGCTTTCCCCTCTAATTCCAGCTACTCAGAGGCTGAGGCAGGAAGGATCCTTTGAGCCCAGGAGTTCGAGGCTGCAACCAGCTACGATCATGCCACTGCAAAAAGGTGACAGCCCAACTATTCCCCTTAAAAACCCCAGGAAAGGTAGTGGCCTAAACCTTCCACTCACTCCTATATTCTGCCCCCTCACCACTCTGGTGTCTTCCCCCAGGTGGCCCTGCATGGTGCGCTGTGCTTCCTGTCTCTAGGACCTGTGAGTATAATAAACTTTGTTTTTCTGAGCTTTTCTTATGTCTCCCGTTGTGGCCACACTGGACTTACCACCTCATAACAGAACACGAAACAGTATTCAAAGGTAGTAAGGTAAAAAGAATACTTAGACAACTACTCAGATAAATAGAGGAATTTAAGGTGCTAAGGCAGGTTAACCTCTTTTACTGTAGCAACTGAGGCTCCATTGGGAGGTGAGGAGTAGAAGAAAGTAGTTATTACATGGAAATTATTCTTGTAAAACATAAAGACCTAAATTGAACTAAAAGGAAAGGAGAGAGAAACAGATACACACACATACCCCAATTGGGAGTTAAATATGAGATAGAAATGTGGAGGTAGGTACATTGGGGGCCAAAACCAAATAGCACTTGGTTTTGTGTGCCTGGGAGAAAAGGAGCACTCTACATTAGGAGACATAATAGGAGCACCTATATTAGGAGATGTGAAGACACAGAGAAACAGAAGGAGGAGTTAGAAAAGCAGGAAAAAACCCTTCAAGACTCACGTGTTTACAGAAATCCTGAACAGATCAGTAACGAGTTAAACGAAATTAGTAACAAAAAACTTAACCAAAAAATCCCTGGACCAGATAGATTCACAGTCAAATTTTACCAGCTGTACAAAGAAGAGCTGGTACCAATTTTACTGAAACTATCCCCCAAAAATCAAGTAGGAGGAACTCCTCCCTAACTTATTCTATGAAACCAGCATCATCTTGATACCTAAATCTGGCAATGATACAACAAAAATAGAAAACTGCAGGCCAACATCCCTGATGAACATAGATGCAAAAATCCTCAACAAAATACTAGTAATCCAAATCCAGCAGCACATCAAAAAGTCAATTCCTCATGATCAAGGGGCTTTATTCCAGGGATGCTAGGGTGGTTCAACATATACAAATCAGTACGTGATTAACTACGTAAACAGAATGAAAATAAAAACCATATGATCATCACAATAGAACCAGAAAAAAGCATTCAATGAAATCCAACATCCCTGTATAATAAAAACTCCTAATAAACTAGGCATTGAAGGAACATACCTCAAAATAATAAGAGCCATCTATGATAAACTCATAGCCAGTATCATATGAAACAGTCAAAAGTTGAAAGCACTTCCCCTAAGAACAAGGCAAGGATGTCCACTCTCACCACTGCTATTCAACATAGTACTGGAAGTCCTTGCCAGAGCAATCAGGCAAGAGAAACAAATAAACAGCATCTAAACAGGAAAAGCGGAAGTAAAATTATCTAAAGATTGTGCTCAAAGACTCCTAGACCTGATAAATGACTTCAGCGGACTCAGGATACGAAATCAATGTACAAAAATTAGTAGCATTCCTATATATCAATAATGTTCAAGTTGAAAACCAAATCAAGAATACAAACCCATTTACAACAGCCATTAAAATAAAAATAAAAATAAAAATAAAAATAAAATAAAATAAAATAAAAACAGCTAGGAATACATCTATCCAAGGAGGTGAAAGATATCTATGAGAACTACATAAAAACACTGTTAAAAGAAATCACAGACAACACAAACAAATAGAAAATAATTCCATGTGCAACGGTTGGAAAAATTAGTACCATTAAAATATCTATACTGCCCAAAGCAATCTACAGATTCAACACTAGTCTTATCAAACTACCAACATAAATTTTTTTACATAATTAGAAAGAAACTATTCTAAAATTCATATAGAACCTAAAAGAGCCTGAATAGCCAAGGCAATCCTAAGCAAAAAAGAATAACCAGAAGTATCACATTACCTGACTTCAAGCTATACTACAAGGCTACTGTAATGAAACAGCATGGTATGGGTACAAAAACAGATACACAGACCAATATAACAGAGTAAAGACCTCTAAAATAAAGCCCCACACCTACACCCAATTGATCCTTGACACAGTCAACAAAAATAAACAATGGGAAACAGGCACCCTATAACGGTGCTGGGAAAACTGGCTAACCACATGCAGAAGAATGAAACTGGACCCCTACCTCTCATTACATACAAAAATTAACTCAAGATGGACTAAATACTTCCATGTAAGACCTCAAACTATAAAAACCCTAGAAGAAAACCTAGGAGATACTCTTGTAAACATTGGCCTAAGCAAAGAATTTATGACTAAGTACTCAAAAGCAAATGCAACAAAAATAAAAATGGACAATTGGGATTTAATTAAACTAAAGAGACAGGACTGAGGGGATAGGTACAC